CCCCCTTCCCCTCCTCTCCTTCCTTCTCTCTCTCTCCTCCTCTCTCTCTCTCTCTCTCTCTCTAGTAGCAATGAGCATAGCAATTAGATTAATAGGGTGTTCGCTAGTGTATCATGGCTCAAAATTTGTCGTATTAATCGTGTTATGAGAATCACATTTATAGTTTCAAAAAGCGCTAGGTGAGTCCTAAGCGGCCTGGGGGGTCCAGGCTGCCCAGTGCCTAGGCGGGCGCCCAGAACCTAGGCGGCCCAGTTGAATCCAAAAAGGATTCTACAATTGTATATTGTATAAAATATAAGAATTAGGTATTTAGGGCATATCAAAATTCAAAGTATACTACACATTAGCATACACTCTATAAGCATAAGCATAAGTCTGTCCATATCCAATTAAAACTTAAAATTTACCAACCAAATTACCAACCCAAAGTTACCAAATACCAAACCAGAAGAACTACAAATCCACTAATCACAGTACACAACCAAGAGGAAGAAAACAAAAATGAATGTAATACTTGAAGACTCAATAGAATCTTCAATAGTTCAATCAATATTCGAACTTCAAAGTTGAATCATTATTCAACATTCGTCAGTCATCATTAGAAAAAGTAGGGTCAGCTGCGTTTGCATCATATTCATCGCCATCGGAGTCGTCACCCTCCTCCGTTTCTTATGAATCTACCTTTTCTTTCTCCTCTTCCTTCACCCTCGTTCCCTGTGCAGAAGATCTAGTGGCCCTAGAAGGGTCAACTGATGTCCCTGAAGCATCCATGATCATATCCCATTGTCAATCCTTTCTCGGCCTCCTCATCATCATCATCATCAACTAATCACTCCATGGCATTGTCTATATTTTTTGATCTGATAGGGTCTCTCTTATCTCTCTTAGCAAACCTGTCCTTCAAGAATCGATTATACTTGACATAGATTAGGTCATTTAGCCTCTTTGATTCAAGCCTGTTCATTCTCTTTGTATGAATCTAACAAAATCAAATGAAACTAATTAAAATCTATAGTTCATGTATTATTAATAGAATTATAAAACTTACCCTTACTACCTTCCCCCTTCAAAAGTAATCCAATTGCGCTCACAACCGGATGAAGAAGTGGTTAGGTTTAAGATCTGAATGGCCAACTTTTGTAAATTTGAAGAACTACACCCATGTTGGCTCTACCAATTGGCTGCAAAGATATAGAATAAACCATAAATAAATAATAGAATTATAAAAATGAAACTTGATTACTTTAACTTGATGAACTTAGGAATATATTATTACTACCTGGATCAATTTTGGCCATTTGCCTCATCGCCAGTGGACTCCCAAAGGACTTTAATAAGCACTTGTAATTTATCAGCTCATCAGTGCATATAATATCATGGATATCAGGATCAGGGACTAACACATCTACACACTTATTAAATTCGACCATAATTGTGTCATTTGTTTGTATATCCTTGTTAAGATAAAAAAAAGCTGGGTTCAAATAATAACCAATTGCATGCAATTGCGGATGTAGCTGCCTATCCTACTTCTGATCAATAATCTCCCAAACAGGCTTGTAGCGGTTCTCATCATCATCAAAATTTGGGCTTTCTCTATTTTGCTTTTCTCCATTGCCTCTTATATGTAGCCCATAGAAGCCTTGTCACAATCAACCATGTGAAGGACTTTGACAAGAGGAAAGAATACCTTAAGAGCGCCCTTCACCCCTCACCAAAAATCCTTAGAAACGATAATACTCTCGCCTTCTTTCCAACCTGATCCTTGGACCACTTGCATGCTCTCCAGTCATCCTAGGTAAACATCTGCCTCAACTGCACTCTTCTCGAATGTATGCTATCTAGGCAAAGTACCAAGTCGTAAATCTCGTGACCCCAGGCCTCACAATATCTTTCTTCTTTGTAAATCTACTCATCATGCTGAGGGTGAGATGTTGGCCATAAATGAAATTTGTAACTGACTTTGCCTTCTTCACTGCACCTGATATCTCGGTTAAACCGCCATGAGCCTCAAGCATGAGATCTATACAATGTGCTGCACATGGTGTTCAAAATATTCTAGGATAAACTATGCACAACAAATTAGCTGCAGCAACATTAGGAGCTGCATTGTCTGTGACAACCTGTACAACCCCAACCTTGTTGCTTCATTTCTCTATAACTTGGAATATGTAATGGGCATCATGGATATGATCAGAAGCATCAATAGACCTCAAAAAAACAGTCCGTAAAGGACAATTTACAAGCAAATTCATCTGACTTTTTATCTTCCTAGCACTCCAAGCATCAGTCATAATAGTAACCCCATATTGAGCCCATGCATCATTCATAACTTCTACAACTTCTTGTGACGCTCATTGCTTTATTCAAAAGAGGCTTTGAAAGCTCATATGGGGTTGGGGGTTTCATCTCAGGCCCAAATTGGCCAATTGCCTCTACTGTGACATAGAAGCTGCTTAGGCGACCGGTATTGAAAGGAATGCCCGCCTCATAAGACCATGTAGCAACATAATAAGCAACTCTATCTCTCTCTTCTCTCTTCATTCTATTTTCAATGGTGGTTTGCTTTTTTGTTTTCTCTCCTGCAACCTCAGGGTCAGATCGAGGCAAAAACTATCCATAGGGCCTCTAACCTGAGGCTTCTTACTCCCAGAACCGGAAGCAATTACAACTCCCTTTCCCTTCCCCTTAATAGTGAATTGTTCTACCTCTTGACATCTCTCCCCAATCCCATCCTCATCACTATCATCATCATCATCATAATTGACCCGAACCCCAGACTTAATCTCTGCTGTGGAGACAAATCTCTCATCTTTTTTTATTTTAACCGTACTAAAAAAATTGGTTATTTCCTCTTTAATACCATCAAGAGTCTTTTTACATGGGGCAACATCCCCCCTGATACCTGCAAGATGTTTCTTGAACCAGTTTATGCCCCTTTTGTATCATTCTCACAAAACATGTATCTTATGCAATTTTTATCATTAGGATTTGGGTTGTTGCCATATTTCCAATTAGGATCACCACTCCTATTAGATCTCGAAGAAGACATCTCAAAATAATATAACTTATTCAAGCAATAAAAAAATCACTTACTTTGATTGCTCAATCTCTAAATGTCCAAACTTTCACCTTATAGATGCTTCAAAGGAATCAAAATCGTCTAAAAAACCCCCAATAGATTTATAAAACATCAAAATTAAATCTCATATCAATGGGTGATGTTTTGATCAATTTCTCATAGCTTTGAGAAACCCTTCGATTCTAAAGAAATCATCAAAAACTTGTTTTTGGGGGGTTTTCTCTTTTTAAAATGGGCTCTAATGAGTTTTAGGTTTCAAATGAACCTAAAACCCCTATTTTTGGCCCCTTGGTATAAAAAAAGGGACACAAATAGCCCCCACTGAATACGTTTTTCGCCTCTGAGCAGGGTGCTGGACCTGCGTGGACGCCTAGGCGGTTTCTTGGGCGCCTAGGCTGGTGCCCAGGAACCCCTGCTTTTTTTGGGCACTTAGGCTTGGGCGATGCGCCCGATCCCGCAGATCCGTCGAGGCGGCCGTCCAGGTGCTGGGTGGTCTACTTTTTGAAATATCGATTACATTTTATGTATGTATTGGATCTATTTTTGAGCCACTCCTTCATGAGTGGAGCCTTTTTGTGGCGTGGAGATCTATTTAGTAGGTGCTCCTTTATGAGTGGATCCTTTTTGTGGGATGGCACTGTTGCTTCAAGAGCTGGTGTTTTCTTGGGTCTCTGCAAGAGTATTGGTAATTGATTCCTTGCTTGCCCCTTCTAATTTCTCTACCAATGCGTCATAGGTGCTTTTTGTGGTCTTTGTTGATTTCTTCAGATGGGTAGGATTCTCTTCTAGTTTGCCAAGAATCACTTTCAAATCAATAAATAAAACCTTCTAGCCAGTCATGAACTTGTGAAGAGTGTCTGAGAGAAATCTTTGTATTATCATGTGATTTGTCTCCTTTTGTAATGGATTTTGTCAAGTTTTTTGAAGCAACCAGGGGACACCTGAAAAGGTAAGGAAAAGAATAGAGGCAGAATGAAAAAAAGAAGATGGGGGAAGAAAAAGTGGTAGTGTTAGAAGAGTTCAGGGGTGCGAGGATACTTTTGATTCTCTAGGAAGTTCCTCTGTGCCTAGGCTTTTCAATCTACCTCGTCATTAACTTTTTTTAGTACATTGGGTTAGAGTTACGAGAAAAAATTTCCTCCATGGTCTTGGCTATTGAGCTATTCTACTGGATATTCCATCTTTCTATAGACTAATGTCATGATCCTAACCGAGTCAACTTCCACAATCAAGTACTGAAGAAAAGAAATGAAAACTGTGGAACTGTTGCAAGGATTTTTCCTCTCTACTTCCGCAGCATCACACATACTCCTTATGCCTATGAAGATCTTGAGACACTTTTTGTGTGTGAAGTAACGAGATCTTGAGAGTCATTCTGAAGCAGTCTCTACATTGATGTCAAATGGCCATAGATTCCCGTCAACGGTCGAAATTGAGTTTAGGTGGTTGTCTAATAGCTTGTCCAACATTACTCATAAATGTCCATTTGGTTGGTCACTTTGCTTTGGACTCTATTGAGACCTGAGAGTTGCCTTCAAACTTAAGTTTAGTTGGGTGAGAAATTGCTTACTGCATTGGGCTGTCGTTGGATGTCCATTTACGTAACAGGCCTTCTGATGCGTGTTTGTGATACTGAATGCATTCTGGACTCGTGTGGTTCACTTGTACCATTTTTTGCGAGCTATTGGATTTCGTATTGCCGTTATGGGCAATACTGTTTTATACATATAATTCTCATTTATTCTGTTGCTTTTACTTACTATCTATCCTGTGGTCTAGTGTTTTGGAGCTTTTGGGCTTACATCCTAGGTTGCAGGTTCCTTCATAGTTCTGAAGAGGGAGAAGAAGAGAAAGTAGCCTTTGGTCATGAACTGCTTTGCGCTAGTGCTCATTTGTATTAGGTTATTGTTACTGATTACTAATTTGTTCAATTATTGTTAATACAGCCGCATATTGAGGTTATATGAGTATTTTACTGTTTAGTGCTTTTCTTAGATTTACATCTTATATTCTTATGTGCACGTCTGTAGTTGATGCATGTATGTTTACATTGTTATGCATGTTTTACATTTGAAGAAGGAATTCTGTGTCTCCTAAATATTGTTTAAATACCTAAAGGACCTGGGTCTTACGCCATATTTGTTTTTCTTGCAGTGTTTGAAAATTCAGCCGCCCAGCCGCTTAGGTGGCTAATCGCCCAAAACGCCTAGGCGGAACCTAGGTGGGGCACCTAAGTGGCTTGTGTCTAGGTGCCCGCCTCGGCAGGCAAAGTGCTGCCTAGGCGTCGCCTTGATGCAGGTTGCCGAGGGTGGAAAAATGCCCTCGGCTATGGTAAAAATATTAATTTTCCCCACCTAAAAAGGGGGGGAAAAGGTTGTGGGGGACATTCTAAACCCCCAAAACCAAATCCATACTATCTAGAGAGAGAAAAACCTCTATTTTGTGGTTCATCGAAAGATTGATAAATTTTCAATTTTTTTGATTTCTTCCGAAATCAAAGGCAATCCTTCGTGGTAGTTTTGGGAGCTTCTAGTGGTCAATAGTGAGGAGTTTGGTGATCGAATAGGCGAGGTTTGGGCCGACATTTTCATTTTGATAGTTTTAGAGCATTATGCTATTATGATTTTTGAATAAGGGTTGTGATGGTTTTTACTATAATTTATTATGTTTTGAATCATCTGATATTTTTTTACTGTTTTTTACCTTATGTGATATATTTACATGTTTATGGTTGATAGATTTATTTATATTCACTTTTGGACGATGAAATTGGTCCTATATCGAATTCTTTTATGAATAATTGGTTCTTATTTTGTACAATGTGTGATGTTTTGATATCCTATTAGTTTTGTTTTACATTTTTGATATTTTTATATAGTTGTAGATGGAACATTTGCCAATTTGGACTTATATTTTGTGAATATTCATAAACTTTGGATGAAATTGATATTTTGTGAATATTTGATATCCAAAACCAAATTTTATAAAGATGTTAATTAATAAATAATAATTATATTATAAATTATATCTTAATTCTTTTGTGAGTAGTCCCTACCCGTCCCTGTTCCTAGGTGGGCGCTTGGCCGCCAGTCCCCCAAAACACCTAGGCACCCGCCTGTGCTTTCCTAAACATTGTGATTTATAAATGGTTCTTAAAGCATACTAAATGACTGGTTTACTTCAGGATTCACCATTCATAAACAAGATCCATGCAGCCAAGTTCTCTCCTTTTTGGAATGAGATTATTAAAAGTTTGCGTGAAGAAGATTACATCAGTAACAGGTAATTCATGCATCTAATTATAAAGAGACCTAAGTGTTTTGGGGTCATATTGATCTGGATTCTACTAGTTTGGTTGTGAAGTACTTATATTGCTGTTGTTTCAATGCTTTTGTGTTTTAAGGGAAATGGACTTGCTTCTTGTTCCTAGCAATTCTGGAAGCTTGAGGCTTGTTCAGTGGCCATTGTTTCTATTATGCAGCAAGGTAAATCCGTTGCAACTTCCTCATTCTTTCGATGAATATAAATTTCTTAATAGCATGAAACTCATTGGGATCACAATTCTATCTCTGAGCCTATCTTTTGAACTTGATTTTTGGCATTTCCAGATTTTTATGGCAATAGATTTAGCGGTTGATAGCAAGGAGTCTAGACTCACTCAGTTGGAACTTTGGCATAGAATCTCGAGAGATGAATACATGGCATATGCTGTCAAGGAGTGCTACTTCAGCATAGAAAAAATCTTGCTATCGCTTGTAGATGGTGAAGGGAGACTCTGGTAAAAATATTTGTTCTTTAGATTTGTGGCTTCTCAAAGGTGCCATTGTATTAATATTTCTGGACATTTTCTTTCTGTGGCCCTTGAGCATGTGGGCTATACTTGAAGAGTTTCGTGCTGATTTTCTTGTTTCTTCTTGAATTTAGGGTTGAGAGGCTTTATCGTGAAATCAATGGAAGTATTGCAGATGGTTCAATTCTTGTGAACTTAAGGCTTACAAAGCTTCCATTGGTTGTGTCGAGATTTACTGCACTGACGGGACTCCTTGTAAGTCTTATGTTACTTTCAATGTGAGACTGTAAAATTATTTGGATGCATAGAAATAATATTTGACCTTCACCTTGTGTATTATCTGGGGTAAAATTCTATGTTAAGACATAAGACGTAAAGTGCTTGGGTTCTTCTATCTTGCCTTTAGCTGTTACTCAAGGGATGTGTCGAACGGCTGTAGTATTCATGTTTGCTGACCAGTAGCTTCAGAGAGACTTGTAGATCAACAGACACACACCCTTTTGCATAGTTTGTTCACCTAAGCAGCTCATGCAAGAGCTGATCGTGTTATCTCAACCTTAACCAAAATGAGGTGGGTGTAACATGGGCACATCGAGATTGTCAAGACTTGGCTACTTAACTCGATAGTTCGAGAATAGCCTCATAAGTCTTCTGAATCAGTCTGGTCTGTGTTCTTTATAAAGTTTTTCCGATGGATAAAAGCTTTGATGTAAATGTAGAAAAAGAAATCTATATATGTTTTATGAAGATGACGTATGAAGAGCTTGTTCTACATAATTATCACAGGCTTCTACTTGTAAAATTAGATTATTGTTTGGATGACAGATAATAATTCCTTTGAGGAATGACACAAGAGCTTCTTTCTTTGCAGGTACGGAACAAAACTCCTGAGCTTGCAAGTGGGGTTAGTAAAGCTGTTTATGAACTTTATGATGTTGTTATTCATGACCTCCTTTCAGATAGTTTGAGGTACGTGAGATAAGCTTACTTAATGGTTCAATAAGGTTTTTTTTTTTTCTGGACGTGTATGACTTTCTATGAACTATTGTATTTCATTAGGGAGCAGTTTGACACATGGAACATTTTGGCAAAAGCTAATAAAGAGGGCCGTCTCTTTTCCCGGATAGAATGGCCCAAGGATCCTGAAATTGTAAGCCAATGATGAGTTTGGTTGTTATGAATTCTGATGGATGCACTTTTGGAACCCAATTTAATTGTGTTTTGTGTGTGATATATATATATATATATTTTTTTTTTCCCCACTTTGTGGTGGGCAGAAGGAGCAGGTGAAGCGGTTACATCTGCTTTTCACCGTGAAGGATTCAGCTGCTAATATTCCAAAGAATTTAGAAGCAAGGAGGCGGCTTCAGTTTTTTACAAATTCTTTGTTTATGAAAATGCCTCCTGCAAAGCCTGTTTGTGAAATGATTCCATTCAGGTGGCGTTGAAACTTAAGTACATTTGGTAACTCTTTTATGATATTTTTTCTTCGTGGTAACTAACTCATCTCGTTTTCATTGGATACAGTGTCTTTACACCATATTACAGTGAGACTGTGCTTTATAGTGCCCATGATCTAAGTCAGGAGAATGAAGATGGAATCTCTACTGTCTTTTATCTTCAAAAGATTTTTCCAGGTAATGCAAACGTTTTGTGCATTGTCCTGATTATGACAACCCCAACCACCAACTAAAAAACAAAAAAGGGTTTAAGATCTTATTTGCTTTTGTTATCTTATTTGCTTTTGTTAAGTAATATTGTATGGTAGGCGGCACCTAGGCAGCCAAGGGGGTCTAGGCTGCCCAGCATGTAGGCGGGTGCCCTAGGATTTTGGTGACCCAGCTTTAGAAGGGGTCTGGGGGTGTTCAGAAATCCTGTTTTAGGGGCATCTTTTGCACAAAAATGCATATAAATGAATTGTTTTTATACGTTATATTAGAATCATGCCAAATCCAAACCAAAGTATCTGACAAATTGAGAATAACACATTAACACATCCTAAAATATTAAAAGCCTATAATCCAAACTCCAAAGTTCCAACCAAAGTATTAGATTATTGATACATCCCTTAAATCTGCTATGCAAGCCTCCTTTTCTGCCCTTTTTATGTTTTATCGTATTAAAAAATGTTTAATCTTCTCGCTGATGGCATCAAGAACCTTCTTACAAGGGGCAACATCCTACCTAATACCGGCAAGGTTTTCCATGGACCGTTTTATACCCCCATTAGTATCTATTCCACGATAATTACACCTTGTACAAGTTTTATTATGGGATTCGTTTTATAACCAAACTTTCAATTGGGATTACCACTTCTAGAAGAACTTGAAGAAGACATCAAAATGACAGGTAAAATCTCAAATACGTAGTTTCTTGACTAACCTTTATACTCGATCTTCAATCTTGAATGTTTGAGATGTTTTCCAATCTCAAAAGCTCGCTAATAAACCTCTAATAAGCTTTCAAAATCGATAAAAGTGAATCCAAACAAAAGGATGTTGTTTGGATCAATTTTAAAAAACTTTGAATTTGAATTTCTATCCAATCAATTTTTTTTTGTGTGTGTGTTGGAGGGAGGATTGGGGATTGTGGTTGTATTCTCTTAATAATGTCTTGAGCCTCTAGAGACCTGGCGTCTAGATGGCCTGCCTAGGCTTGCCTAAGCGTTGTGTGGGCTATTTTTTGAATCGCTGGTATGGGAAGTTGATCACTTGAATTCCATATTGCATTAGTAAGCGATAATTATGAGTTCGGTGTGCATGATAGCAACTTTGTGTAGTTGCCCTTTTTCTCTCATGTTATATGTAGCCTGAATGGAGTTTCTAAGTTGTCTGGTTAGAGGGCAATTGCTTTTCTGTTTTTTTTTTTGAAGTTGGTTGATTGTGTTAATACGGTAAAAAATACATATCTATCTAATCCTAAAGATGGCAATCCCACATGCTCAGACAACATAATTTGAAACGGTGCCAAATTACATTAACATAAGAGAAGAATTAATATAGAAAAGCGAAGGGAAAATTACATTAAAAAGGTTGGGCAGAGCCCTATATAAACTGAAAAGGTACCAAATCCTGACGCAGAGGCTGGAGCAGAGGGCCTTGAGGTGTGTGGCTTGGACCTCATATAGCGAGAGCAGACCACGTCATGCTTAAGACAGTCGAGTAGGGGCCTCTGCTAGCAGGTGAAAGAGCTGGTGCCAACACTTGGCAGCATAGTGTGGAAAGAACCCCACTGTATTATGCAAAGAAATCCAGGGAGCCAAGCATGAGGAGTTAGGTGTTTTATAAGGCGAGAGGAGGGTGGGTGAGGAGGTGAGAACCCCATTGTACTATGCAAAGAGATCCAGGGATCCAAGCGTGAGAGGAGTTGGAGGTTTTAGAGGGCGAGAGGAGGATGGGTGAGGAGGTGAGAAACCCGCTGTACTCTGCAAAGAGATCTAGAGGGCAAGAGGAGGATGGGTGAGAACGTGACCGGCATTGAGGTTTTGGAGGGAATGTTGACGAGACAGAAGGTATTTCCGTCCATAGTCATTGAATTCGCTAAACCAGACACCTTCCTAAATTCCCAAAGCAGGAGACCCCTCCCTAGTTTGTCCTTTTTCCTTTCCTTGGAGTTGAGAGGAGATTCCAGGAAATGGGCACGAGTACAGAGAGGTAGAAATTAGAGGAGTGGAGACTTAAAGAACTGGGGAAGGTGAAAAGAGAGGGGGTGTGAGGGGAGAGGATATAGAGGGGAGCTGCAATAACTTTAGAGGAAGAACGAAGGCGGGACAAGCGTGGTCTATGGGAAATAGGTTAGAGAGAGAGGAAGAGGTGAGGGAGGGAGATGGGTTGTGAGTGAGCAGGAACACTGGTGCATGGTAAGAGGTTTGGTATGAGAAAGGTAGGTGATTTAATGGGGATTGAGGATGGAAGAAGAAGGTGAGGAGGGAGGTAAGGATCGCAGTGTTGCGTACCTGAGTTTGATCGCTGAGCATTGAGAACAATCCTGAGGTTGAGTGTTTGCAGACGTGAAAAGTGGACGCAAGATGGAGGTCAGCCTTTCTCTGGTATGTTTGCGATCGTATATCGACGGTGGTTTGGTTTGGCAAGGTAAAATGATGGCCCGAAAGATCAAAATGAAGCTATAGGCCCCATGAGTTTGAGCTTTCTAGAGGGCAATTGTTTTTGTTATGTGATGCAGGAAAATTTGGGGGAACAACAAAATTAGCAAGACACAAAGCCAAACAAAAGCATAATTCAAAGAAACCTAGGGTTTCTTCTCCATAACCCAAGCTGGGGTTGCAAAACGCTAAGCTTTTATCTCTTTCAATTTCTAAAAATCATGTGGAATGACCCTCTCTCAAGGCCCCACACACCTCTAATATAGTACAGTTTAATATTTCAAGTACAAAAAGTGTCCAAACAAATAATACATTGACCCATATATCCTAATTTGACTTAAAATTTGTAACGACAATTTTATTTATATGAACAGTACTCATGAATCGTACTCATGAACGGTATTTGTGGATAGTACTCTAGAAATAAATAAAAAAATAAAAACCTTAGAATACCTAAAAAATAAAAACTAGAAATAAACCCTAAAACTAAATCTATAATATACATCTTTCGAAATTGAATAAAAATTAAAAATAAGAAGAATTTTGCCTTCCATCATTCTCCCCTGGTTGGAGAAATCTCGTCGAGTTTTGAAGTGTGCTAAGTTGAATTCAGCATCAAAACCACTTTCTTCAACCTTCTTTTTCTTTGGCGTCTTAGATATTATTCGTGGTAAAGGGAATTTCTCAAGAAATGGATCTTGAATCAATGCAAATTTATCAAATAGGGCTATCCATGAACTCCTATTGAAAATCATGTGGGAAACTTCAAACTCAATTTTTTGTTTTCTAGAGGTTTTTTCCAAATCTATTTCATTATTTTTTGAAACCTTGGCCACAATTTGCAGTTTATTAGTCGACCGCACTTCCACTGCGCTAGTTTGAATTCAATGTTCGTAATCTCTCTAATGCTCCACCTCTTCGATATTAATGGGATCTTCAAAGGCCATGAGTGGCATTTGACCTCCTACTGCCTCGTCTCCATATTTTTCACTCTCTCCCAAAATTTCGTCATCATCATCTTGATGCTTCTTATAGATTGGATTTCCTAAGAGATCTTGTTGTTCATTTGAGTATATATTGAAGATTGGTGGTGAATCCGAATCTACCACCTGCGGACTTTTGATGCAATATGTGCCAAAATCAAGATTCTCATCCTTCAAATCGAAAACCCTAGACTTATATTCCCAATATCTAGATCTGTCACTATCCTCATCACTTGACTCCCCATGCAGAGCGAGAAAGTGAAAAAGGCTTGTACTCAACATCCATTTTGGGTTAAAAGATAATCATAGCTATTATTGTTGCTCGCTAATTGCTGCATCTCTATTGAACTTGCCTTTTAAGTTCCTCAATTCTCTTATCTCTGGGATCACAGAGCGGAGCTATGAAAATCATCCTACAGCCCAGTCTCATTGCCTTGGGTTTGCTGAAATCACAAATCCTAGGGAAATAATCAACAAAAAAAACTGCTGAAATCATCAAAATCTAGGTTGTTTTGGTAAAACTTTGGCCAAAATCAGCAAGCCCTTGGCCCCACTATAACTTCCCCGTTTTGTTGTTGATCTAGGGAACCAAAAAGCAATGCTACAGTAATGCCCCGTACACTGCTACAGTAACTTTGGTAAATTGCTATAGTAATTCTCATATGCCGCTACAGTACCTTCGTGTAGATCGTGGGCTCTGATACAAAGTCACCAAGAAACAAAGCCAAACACAAGTACAATTCAAAGTAACCTAGGGTTTCTTCTCCATACTCCAAGCTAGGGTTGCAAAAGCCTAAGTTTTTCTCGCTTTCAATTTTTAAAAATCATGTGGAATGGTCCCTCAAGGCCCCACATACTTTTTATATATTATAATTTAAGTTCCAAGTATAAAAAGTGTGCAAACAAATAATACATTGACACATATATCCTAGCTTCACTTAAAAATTGTAAAGACAGTTTTACCCCTGTGAAAAGTACTATGAATAGTAGTTGTGAATAGTACTCGTGACGTAAATAAATAAAAAAACCCTAGAAGCTCTAAAAAACAAAAATCTTAAAAATAAAGCCTAAAACTAAAATTATAATCTATATCCTTTGAAATTTAACAGAAATTAAAAATAAGAATAATTTTGCCTTCCAACATTATGCTTTGTCTCTGCTGTTATTTTAATGTATTTATCACTGGGAATGATACTGACAATATCCCATTTTCATCTATATGATATGAACATGGCCTTTGGCCTAGATATGTTTTTTGGGTATGAGGATAGTAGAATTTCAACTTGTGAACTTGGTGCTTCTTGGTATATAAGACTATCACTTTCTTGTTTCATGGCATATATGCACTGACTAAAACCTGTAGTCCAAGGCCGAACAAGGCATTTTGTTAAATAAAATTCCTTGTCGTTTCCATTTTCTGGACAAAAAATTTCTGATGATGTTAAGTTGCAGTTGACATTGGGAGATCTAAGCATGTTGGGTGATCCCCGAGCTCTTTGAACCTTGGGAAGCTGAAATGTTCCACTTCTTGACTGGGAAAAAAACAATTCCTATAAGTATAATCTCAAATAAACCCTCAGGTCTATGTAAAGCTGATGGACCCCCTCCAAATTGGAAGAGAGGGACGTTTAACCCGCCTCATTACCTTTTTCTTTGTCCAAATTACAATATTTATCCTTTTCTTTGTTCTAATAATCCCATCATCGAAATGCTAGAAAAGAAAAGCTACCTCTCTTTCTCTCTCTTTCTCTCTCCAACTCCATCACTCGTGGACCACTTTTCCTGGTCACTCTCTGTCAAGTCTTAACCTCCAATGAAGCCCCATCTCTCTCTCTCTCTCTCTCCAACTCCATCACTCGTGGACCACTTTTCCTGGTCACTCTCTGTCAAGTCTTAATCTCCAATGTAGCCCCATCTCTCTCTCTCTCTTGAATTTCTTCTTTTCCAACCAAAGGCCTATGCCTTTCTATATGATCCCCTATGTATCTTTTTCCAAGTCGTATGATCTCTCTCATGGAACTCCCAATTTTTTGTAACTGCTAAGCAGAAACTGAAAATATTTTTTGGTGGTTCCAATGGAAAATCTCTAGGGTTGACTTAGATAATTCTAGCTCTAAAAAGAAATCTCAAATTCGTGATTTTGAAAACTGAAACCTTTTACTCCCTTGTTTAATTTTCATTAAAGCCCAAATATTCCCAAGTACATCCATTATACATTCTTTTGGGAGGGACCAAAAGTGAACCTTTCCAGTAAGACCATTTGTTCTTCCAGCTGCTGTGCGACTATGACGGTGCCTGGTATCTGCTTTGTGTCAGTGCTAGTCCTTAGAGTGAGGTGTACGTGATATTTTGGTTTCTGTAATTTTTGGAGGTAATCATGGACATATTTGGTTGAGATTGTTTAGTTGGTATGTGTTGAGGTAATCGCGGACATTTTTGGTTGAGATTATCTAGTTGGTACGTATGCATATAGCATGAATGCGCATGGCAAGGTTGTTGTCTTCCTTCTTTAATCCTTATTGTATAATGGCATTATGTTATTTGTGGCATCCAAGTGCACTTGGGCGTGTGTGTCCATGTGTGTACCCTGGTGGTCATATGATGTGAATGGTCTTAAGACCATCTTATCAATTTCTTGTTGGCATAGTGCGACCTCGTTTATCTATTCCTGACATGACTACGTCTAGAAAATCTGGATTTCTATTCTTTCGTTTTCTGCTTTTTCACTTCCTTTGGTTTTCTTTTAGATGAATGGGCCAATTTCTTGGAGCGAATTAAGCGTCAGGATTCGGAAGCAGATGCCATTCTCCATGATGGTTCTCCTAATGCCTTGGAATTACGATTTTGGGCATCCTATCGAGGCCAGACTCTGGCCAGAACAGGTTAATATCTTTCCTCAAGTCTATTTCTGATGCCACTCCACATGGATCAGCTCAGATGCCTTGTAAAATCATTCCTTCTTTGTTTTTGGATTTCAAGTGGTGTCAGATATTGCTAAATGGTGTTTTTTGGCCATGGTGTTGCAGTTCGGGGAATGATGTATTACAGAAAGGCTTTAATGCTACAGAGCTATTTGGAGAATAGATCTCTTGGAGGTATTTGGTATTCTTATTTTTCTTTCCACTTCTGCCCTTACTCATGCTTCCAGATTCATGACTAGTTTTTTGAGCACTCCTGATTACTGTTTCTTCTTGTTTTGTAGAAATTGAAGATGGTTATTCAGGAAATGATTTTACAAGTATGGACTTTGAGCTGTCTCCTGAATCACGGGCACAAGCAGATCTGAAATTTACTTATGTAGTATCTTGCCAAATATATGGACAACAGAAACAGAAACGAGCCCCAGAGGCTGCTGATATTGCTCTTCTTCTGCAGAGGTTCTCTTGGATGCGTATATTTATTTATTGGATTTGGGTCTAAGTTCCTTTTTTATGCTCTTGTTATCTTCAAAGAAATTTGCATACTTATATTGAAAATGGACGTTCTTTTGCTGATTCCATGTTAGTATTCTGTCATGTTCTCAGCTTAACCTTTAGGTTAATTACCTAGAGTAATATATTACTTTCTCTTTGATCTCGAAAATCAGGAATGAGGCTCTTCGGGTTGCTTTTATTCACACAGAGGAGAGTGCTGATGGATCAAGAGAATATTTTTCAAAGCTTGTTAAAGCCGATGTTCACGGAAAGGATCAGGTAGTTTTGTTTTTGTTTTATCTATGCCATAACTTATTCATCATATAGCCAGAGCTTCCATTATAAGGTACATCTAAAAAGGCTTTACAACTCTACGAGTGTAAATTACTGTTGTCATTCCAAGAGTTTGTAGCTCTGCCTTTCCTCTCTAGTCTTTGCTGAGCAACTGGGCAGTTTACCAACTTATGTAGTTGTACACGTGGTAATTTGAAGGAGATGCTCCATGGACCCCTGATATTCAGTTTCTTTCATCTTGCTTCTCTGTCAAGCACAAAATTATAAAGCGCTCTGGTTTTCTAGTGTTTCACTTGCATCATTGTGTCAAATATACTTAAAACTACAAGACCACCAAGTAGTTACAAGAACGATCAACAATCATCATGACAAGCCCCTTGTCTTTTGGCAAGTTTCTTTGCATCCGTCAACGAACAAGAAAGGGAATGAGGCTGGACCTGCTCAATATTAATTTTTTTTAGCAGATTTGCAGCTAAGACATGATACAGGAGTTTGATATTTTGACTTATGTTTGATATTTCTTCCCAATTCGTATGTTGTATAGTTTTGTAAGATGACTTCTACATTAGTGTTCAATGTATGTTTGTGTTTAATATGCATAGTCTTATAACATTGATTTATTCTTCTCATATTAGTAATATAATATTCATTCTGGATTTAATTATATGGCAACATTTAGAACATTAGTTTAGAGTATTATCATATATGGTTCCTAGCTCTTCGAAGCCTTCCAGGCTGTTAATATTGACGAACGAAGTCATAGAATGCGGCGTTTCAGATGACATGTGGTTCTTGTTAGCAACTCCGTGCTGATCTGGTTGCCTTGATTTCTTTTGTTTCTCTTCTTAGTTTTTGTTGTATTTTTTATTTGAAGTTGTACATTTTTTAATGTTATTCTGGTTGGTATGGAGTTTCATAAGTATATAATCCCTTTATTTTTCATTTAGGAAATATACTCCATCAAGCTACCTGGAGATCCTAAACTTGGAGAAGGAAAGCCTGAAAACCAGAATCATGCTATTATATTTACTCGTGGAGATGCCATTCAAACAATTGACATGAATCAGGTGGACCTTATCATCCTTTTACCTTGAATTCATGTATCGATCAGGATCCTTGGAGTTGTGATTTACAATGTTTCCATTTTTTCTTTTGAATGGTTGAAAGAAAAAAAAAGGGGGAAAAAAAAGGTGGAGGTGGCCAGTCTACAATTTTATTGCAGAAGCAAATGTAAAAGTCTTGCAATTAATTATAACTGTATACAAGGCTATAATGTCTTATTGAATAAATGACTTCTGGCTTATGCTGCTTGACACATACTGTTTAGTTGTAAGCATTACACAAATATATTTATCTAGTGAATACGCTTTGAAGGACAGATCTTTTTTAAGACTGTTTGGAATGTTATACTGCTATGAATATGCAAATAAACAATTGTTCATGCTGCTGCATTAACATCTTCTTTCTGATTTGTGTGTTCTGAATTTTTTATGATGTACAGGATAACTATTTTGAAGAGGCTTTGAAAATGAGGAATCTTCTAGAGGAATTTCATAGAAATTATGGTCTTCGAGCACCAACTATTCTAGGTGTTCGAGAGCATGTTTTCACTGGAAGGTAGGCCAGTTGCATTTTCCTTTTAGTACTAGGTAAATTTGTTGAGAACCTCGATTTATGTTGTGTTCTTTATTGAATTTGCAGTGTCTCCTCCTTGGCTTTGTTTATGTCCAATCAAGAAACTAGTTTTGTGACTTTGGGCCAACGTGTTTTGGCAAATCCTCTCAAGTAAGCTAATGTCAATCTGACTTTCTCTATATCGACAAAATTCTACTTGTTTGCAGCCCACTACTGCCTTATGCATTTTCAGCATAACTCTCTAGAGCTTTGCGTTTTCTTTCCATTCTTGTGCTGCTCCCTTCTGCTATCTTGCTATAGGTTTTTGATTGAGCAATTCCTCTTTGGGCCATCCATCCACGTTTATTTTGTCTAGACCCTGCAGATTTAAGTACAGTTTTCTATTTCTCATCGTTTGGATGGAACAAAACAATTTTCTAGACGCACTAAAATTGCTTTGAATTTTAAAGATTTGGGTCATGACTCATGACTTAGCTTGTTAGGAATCCCAGCATCATAACCATATTTGGGATAGAGAACCAAATTAGGAGAGGGAGGAAACAAAAGCGTTAGGGGGTTTGTATGGGGGGGGAGGGGGTTTAGTAATCAGAAGGATTAGAGTAGGAAGCAGGGTGAAGAGGTTTGGGAGAGAATGTGGTCGAACATCAAGGTGGGAACTCCCATTTGGGGTGGTTTTGGTTTTCCCCTCTCTCTGGATGCAACTAAGCTGATACCAGCATCATGTGGGTATTCTTGAATAACTTATAATTGAATGCTGGATGCTATTAGCTTAGCCACTCTTTGTGCTTCCTTCTATTTGCTTTTGGAGAGATCCAAGTTACGGATTAATTAAATCGTCCTGTAGTGTATGATCTGATTAGTTGCTTGGATTACTTTGTGGAAGCATAAATCATCACATTAACAAGATAAAGTATCACTAGTTTTAACATTCATAGTTAATGCAAAGAAATTCTTTTGGGGCTATATCATGTTTTCAGATAGGTAAGGATGAAACAAGATATATGAGAACCTATTTATGAGAAATACAATAACCTGGGACACAAATTCCCCTTCATTAAATGATACAATTATGCACATACCCCCCAATTTTTCCTACACTGTTCTTTGGTAAATGAATATGAACTCGGAATGAAAGTCTTAGCCTGCATTGCTAGAACATTTGGTGTCATAGAAATTGCATTATGACTCTGCTGCTCTTTCAACTTTTGAAGAGAGCCTTTTTCTTTTGTTGAGTTCCTTACATGTCCGATGTTAGTATAAACTGCCGGAAAAGAAAAAAGAAATTATTTATTTTTAATTTTAATTTTTAGCTCAGCATGAATGCTTATCTGAATCTTGTTTCAACAGGGTTCGAATGCACTATGGCCATCCAGATGTATTTGATAGGATCTTTCACATTTCTAGAGGTGGCATTAGCAAGGCATCCCGTGTTATCAATATAAGCGAGGATATCTATGCTGGTAAGAGTTTTCCTGGATCTTTTCTTAATGTAGGTATCTTAAACGCTTCTCTGTGGAGAGGCTCATATTGTTATTGGTTCTGGATATTCTAGGTTGCTGAGTCTTCATATATTTTGGAGTCATTTGATATATTTTATGAGAAGCATTGATGCATTGCATTAAAGTTTAGTTCACCTTGGGCGCATCACAGTTGATTATCTAGAGAATCTGGATATCTAGAGAAGCATGCATCTTTCCACATTAAGGTTTCCTGTTTCCTACATGTTTCCCTGACCCATAATATAGTGAAACATGCCTCCTTCCTAGAAACAGCCTGACTTGTAAAGTGCGTTAATGGGTTTCTGATGCATCTAATATATTAAGTTCCTTATAGAGCTTTATAATGGTGCAGGATTCAATTCCACATTACGACAAGGAAACATCACACATCATGAGTATATTCAGGTATACCTGTCACCTAATTGATATTTTGTTTAAGAGCTATAGTTTTACCTGATTTGTGATGCCTTTGCCTAGGTTGGGAAGGGAAGAGATGTTGGCCTGAATCAAATTGCGCTGTTTGAGGGGAAAGTAGCTGGTGGAAATGGGGAGCAAGTCTTAAGTAGAGATGTGTATAGGCTTGGACAACTACTAGACTTTTTTAGAATGATGTCGTTTTATTTCACCACCGTGGGCTATTATGTCTGTACTATGGTAGGGCCTTTCATTTGCCTCCGTCTTTCATGCATGCCGAAAACTGGTTTTTGTTGCTACTACTATTCTTCGAAATTTGTGACATGTTATGTGGAATGATTGCAGATGACTGTTCTAACCGTGTACATATTTCTTTATGGAAGAGTATACCTGGTAAGTTTGCATGATTAGAACTTGTTTGGATAATTTTATCTGGAATGTTATCTTGAAATTAATGGATAATTTTATTTTTGTTAGCTGTTTGTTACATATCTTATATCATGGATAATGTTATTAAATACTTGACTTTTCAGTGATTTCGAGCTATTTTTAGTTATTTCTGGCCAAGAAAGTAAAAACAGTTTTCGAACAGATAAACTTACAAGCAAAACTGCCAGTAAGTTTATCTCAGATAACTTTACAGTGGACATAGCCAAACAACAGATTACTCATTATCAGGATTAACTTTATTGAGACAGTGAATTATCGGTGGTAACAAGTACATCCTAACTGGTTCTTGAGGTTTTTGTTTTAATGCATGACATAATAGGAAGTTGATTATAGAATAGGGTTCATGTTCATTACTGTCATGCTTTTCCTACTATAGCGATTTTGATATTTTTCTCTCAATCTGTTTCTTTGCATGCAGTTGTCTATTGCTTTCATATGATTTAATATTGCAATGTTTACCTACTGGCTAAATGCTATGCATCTTTCAGGCCCTTTCTGGATTGGATGAGGGCATTGCAAGGCAAGCTAGGTTGACGGGTAATACCGCACTGTACACGGTTTTAAATGCTCAATTCTTGGTCCAGATTGGTATCTTTACTGCAATCCCAATGATAATGGGTTTTATATTGGAGCTGGGACTTCTGCAGGTCCGTCGACATGTTTTTACCTGATATATTTGTAGATTATCAATTGATATATTTTTGTGTAAATTAGTATCTTTCTATTCAAGATTTGTGGTAGTCTCTACTCTCTCTTTTCTGATGAAAGAAAACGTGGCGATTTGGTTGCTTAAATCTCTCTTCAGAAAGAATTGCAACCAAAATGTGTTTCTTAGTTCTGATGTTTTTATTTCAGGCTGTCGTTAGTTTTATAACCATGCAACTTCAGCTGTGCTCTGTATTTTTCACATTTTCTCTTGGGACAAAAACTCATTATTTTGGCCGCACGATTCTCCATGGAGGTGCAAAGGTACTCTTTCTTTCCTTTCTGTTATATTAGGTTGTGATCTTTTATATGTCATATCTAACTATGGTAAATCCAAATTTGGACCTTTGACAACTGACAGTACCGTGCAACTGGGAGAGGCTTTGTTGTCCGGCATATTAAATTTGCAGATAATTATCGACTTTACTCCCGAAGTCATTTTGTTAAAGCGTGAGTACTGTTTGCCTGTTATACTCTGACTCATCCTTACTGTGGGCTTTGCTTTTTGACTTATGCCTAAATGTGTCAAGGTAGTTTATTGTCATAACTTTTTGCTTAGTTTCTCATGGTAGTTTATTAGCTTATGGTGGAACTTATTGGATGCAGGCTTGAAATTGTTGTGCTTCTGATAGTCTATATAGCGTATGGCTATACAAAGGAAGGAGCGATTACTTTCATCCTTATTACCCTCAGCAGTTGGTTCCTAGCCGTTGCCTGGCTTTTTGGTCCTTATATTTTCAATCCATCAGGATTTGAGTGGCAGAAGTAAGCATCTTTTCTTTATCATGTGATCAGGATAGTCTATGATATTTAATCTTACAGATCTTCAAATTTTGAATATGTTTGAAGTGCATGAACTTTACTCAAAAAAATATGCTTGAAGTGCAGTGTTTGCTGACTTGGGTGAGCTGACTCGGTCTTCCCCGGGTCATCTATACTGAGATTGGAACACCATAATTGATTTATAACTAATCATAATTGATTTGTAATTGATTCAATCTTTTGAATAAATCAACTATATGATTATTATTTTTCTTATGATTTTAGTAGTTTTTTATTTTATTTTATTTTGTTCTCATTTTCTGAGAAAATGATGATCTTGCTTTGTGAAACCACAGGACTGTGGAAGATTTTGATGACTGGATAAATTGGCTTCTTTACAAAGGTGGAGTTGGAGTGAAAGGGGAAAATAGTTGGGAAGCTTGGTGGGATGAGGAGCAGGTTAACTTGATTCGCCTTGACCTTACATTTGTGCTTTATAGATTGTGCTACACTAAGCCAATTTTACTATAAATTTTTGGTCCAAGCCATATGTTTGGGTAAGGGATGGATGCAATGTTGTGGCATTCAATCAAACCTTACACTCAGCAAAAGGTAACATGGTCTATTGTGGTCCTCATTCAAATTTTCTTATTAAAATGTGGCATATTAGGTGAAGGGAGTTAGGTACCTTATGAGAAATGTAGTATCATCATCATCATTGTCCAAACCTTATCCAATTACTTGAGGTCGGCTACACGAATTCTGGTATACCATTCTGCTCTATCGAGAGCCATGCCCTCAATCAGACTATAAGTCACTATATCTTTTCTCGCTCCTTCCATGCATGCCCTTTTGGGCCTTCCCGTTGCTCTTTTAGAGCCTTCCACTTGAATTAAATCGTCCCTCCTAATCAGTGTTGTATTAGGTCTATGCTGCTCATGGCCAACCCTCCTAAGTCTACTTTCCCCATCTTATTGCTTACTAGTGCAACCCATAAGTTCCCTCGTATGTATCCATTCCAAACTTTGTCTTGCCACTCATTTATCTCAATATCCCCATTTTAGCTACACTTATCTTCTGGCTAGTTTGTTTCTTGACTGCCTAAAATTTTGTCCCATAAAGCATGACTGGTCTTATAGCCGCATTGGTATGTGGTTATCATATAAAACTTCAAATGCACATCTCCACTTCGCCCACGCAGCTGTAATTTCTATTCGCAATATCTTCTTCAATGTCTCCATTCTCTTGGCTTATCGATCCAATAAATCGAAAACAATCTCTTTTGGGTATTCTTGGCCATCAATCTTACCTACTTCCTCGTTTCTACTCATTATTATTAAATTTGCATTCCATGCATTCTGTCTTAGTCCGGCTAATTTTAAAACCTTTAGATTCTAGAGCATCCCTCTAAAGTTCTGACTTTGCGTTGATGCCTCCTCTAGTCTCATCATCTGCGACAAACATGTACCTAGTTAACTCATCCATAACCAAAACAAAGAGATATGGGCTTAATGCTGATCCTTGATGTATTATTGAAAGCTCACTTGTTTTTCCTCTAGTTGTCTTTACACTGATTGCGCTGCCTCGTACATATCTCTCACTGTGTCAAGATGTCCTCTAGTGACTCCTTTCTTGTTAAACACCCATCAAACTATCTAGGTATGCTATCATTTGCTTTCTCTATATGAATGAAGACCATGTGGAGGTCTTTTCTTTTCTTTTTAAAGTTCTCAATCAGTTGCCTTAGTAAGAAAATAGAAACTTCCTTTGCATTGAGCCAAATTGATTTTCTTATATGCTTGTTTCATATCTTAGTCATTGCTCAGTCACACTGTTTCATAGTTTTATAGTGTGGCTAGTAATTTTGATTCCTCGACAGTTTGTACAGTTTTGTATGTCTTCTTTGTTCTTATACATGGGTACCACAATACTTTTTCTCAATTCTTCTGCCATTTTCTTTGTTCTCAACATCTTGTTGAGAAGCTTGGTTAGCCACAAAATGCCATTCTCTCCCATGCACTTTTGAACTTCTATCCCGGCGCCATTTGGTTCTAATGCCTTTCCTATCTTCATCTTTCTCAAAGCTTCTTTCACTTCATATATCCTAATCTTGCGAATGTATCTATGACCAGTGTTTTAAAATGCGGGATGCGACCTAAAGCGTTAGAGGGGCCGATGTGGCTCGATGCAGTCTGGATGCAAATGCATCCCGGCGATGCGGTCAATGAATATAAAAAATTCTAAAAACGTAGGTTAATGCATAGAAAAAAATATGAAGGTGATATATATGATAGTAGGTAATTAGTGTATTCATTAACTCCAAAAGTATTAGCTATCGGAGATTTTGTATCCACTATCCCCTGATAGCAACTAGAAATTTGAAATTAGCTTCATAAAACATTCAACAATTAACAACCATAAGCACAAATCTACGACCACAAACTTTAATGTTACAAACAAATTTTATAAACTTTTTAGTCTTGATAAGAGTCCATGAAGTTCTTCAACTCGATTTGTATTGTAAACTTTATAAATTTATAAAAATGTTGTAACTTTACGGTATCAGATCATGTTGAAGATCAATAAATTTTAAAGTCCATGAAACTCTTTAAAGTTACAAATTTTATTTGCAAAGTGCATGGAAGGTTCTCTTCGATTGGTAACTTTTTAATCTTCATGGAATTTTAATGCATTTAATAAGATTTTAGTATTTTTCTTAGCATTTTTACACTTTCCTAAGTTTTGATCATTTTTATTACATTCCCAAACTTTATTTATTTATTTATTTATTTGATGTTGTTGACTGTTGTATTAAGAAGAATTAGAAGGGTGTGCAGAGGAGTCCCACAGACCGGGCCTCTTGCCAAAAGAATAGGTTACCCTAGAGGAACAAAAAATGGGTTGGGTGCAGTACCAGCGCCCAAAAGGAAAAAAGAGAGTCCAAAAGTGAGGTAGTACATTCGCCCATTTCAAGTAGGAAATGAGAAAGAAGCCAAAAAACCTGTCTTTCATTGAACCCGAGGTGTTGGGTGATGCTCCATCTTTAGCCAATTGATCCGCCAAGGCATTGGATACCCGCCAGGTATGCCTCCATAAGACGGCCATATCCCTGAAAAGGTGAAGTAATCTTGTTCTAAATCGAAGCTAAATATCGGGGGGCGGGGGGTTGCTGCCCATGTGATTTGTATTTTGTGCTTCTCTTTCCACGATTAGTGGTTGACCCCAAGAGGGGTTGAAGAGCTTTAGTCCGGTGAGGAGAGCCATTGACTCAACAAGTTGGGAGTTGGTGTGGCCAATGTTCCCAAGCTTTATAACATGATCGTTTTTTGCCAATAGCCTTTTGAACTTTATCACATTACCATCAAGTTTTCTTATTAGAATTTCTTTCCCCTGTAGATTCTCGTAAATTTCTTTCACCACTTTCCTAATACAATCAGCTGTCTCATTTCACATTACTTAGTGCTCAGAAATCCAGTTTTCTTCTTTTACAAATTTATTCTTCATTAAGTCTATTTTCTCTAGTTTTAAATTCCACCAACTAGTTCTTGGACACCTATTAATTTCTCCTCTTTTTTTCCATCTTTCTATGTAGACTTCCCTCACAATGAACCTTTGTTGCGTGGTCAAGCTCTCTCCTAGGTTAGTCTTACAGTCTTTACATGGTGGTCAATCTACCTTCTTAACTAGAAAGAAATGTAGGTGGTTTTTATGTGATCCACTTTTTTAAGTTATTAAATATTCGTCTCGCTTTTTAAAGGAGGTTTTATTGCTAGGTCGTAAGCCATAGCAAAATCCAGAATAGCATCACTTATCTCATTTCTTTGCCTAAACCATATCCTTCATGTACCCTATCATATCTTCTACTATGTTTTCCAATGTGGCCATTTATGTCATCTCCTAAAAAGGTCCTCACTCTATTGGGTATTCCTTGGACTAGTCTATCTATGTCCTCCCAGCATTGTCTTTTAATTCTCTCCTACAGTCCTACCTGTCGTGCATAAGCACTAATTGCATTAATTACCTCCTCCCCCAACACAAGTTTAAATAATAGGAGCCTATCACCTACTCTCTTAACGTCAACTACTTTGCCTTTTAAAATCTAACTTTATGCTTATGTCATTTCTACTATTATCCCATTCTATATATGACAGTTTATATCCGTCGATTTCTTTAGCTTTTGCCCCTTTCCACTTAGTTTCCTGTAGGCGTGCTCTGTTAACTGTCATTTGACTCATTGTATCTACTAACTCTATGCTCTTACGTGTTAGAGTTCATACATTCCATGTAGCTAGACAAATCTTATTTTATTGGACTTGCTTCTTTACCCGCACTTATCCAAAATTGGCATGGGAACCCTTGCCTACTTATCACCACAATCAGGCATCGTTACGGTGCGTCTTTTAGGGAACCTTTTCTCATTTCTCACTACACCCGGGTTCTGATATAGCGGGTCGCTTACAGGGAATACCCTAACGTGAACATATAACATAGGTTTGAGATTCATGAAAAGATGTGGCAATGTTTTATGCTGGCTGCCACGCCTAACACAACCCTCCTATGTTACCTTGGTTTGGGACCAGCATGATCGGCTTGGGGACCAGCATGACTGGCTTGGGATTGGCCATGGCAGAGTTTAACAATTGTAGTATAAGTAATTAAATAATAACTATGAGCGAATGGGCTTATAGCAATGGTATAGGTCAACTAAGAGTTTGAAGTTGGGACCTAATGAATGGGTGTGATAAAATTTACCTACGTCACTTAGTTTAGCATGCAATAAGAGAAGAAATTATATTATAAACAGGAAGACATTATGAGGAAGATTACAAAAGAGTTCTAGGACCAAATGCATGGAGTATGAAGACTCCTACTCTGCTTCTCAGTTTTGTGTGTAATAAGGAAATTATATTATATACATAGAAAAATGTTGTTAGTTTATTCAACATGGTGCTTGGACGGGCATGCTTTCCTGTACTAGAATTTTAAGTGCTAAACACTTTAGATATGCATGAGACATGATACTCATGTGGGTATTACATGTAACACTAGCTAGAGGGATTTTTTGGCTGAAATATAGCACATATTTGATTTGGAAAATAAGTTCCTATACACCTAGAGCCACCATCCACCAAATGGACAGCTTATGTTCACCAAAAAAGTCACTTGTCCCCTTTTCCCCTACCCTATTGATCACTTAGATGAGATCCTGTGTGCAAAATTTGGGGTCCAACAGACTTCTTTTCGAAGTAGCTTACACTTCAGTATAGCCCATTCACTTATATAACAGGTTTCCTAGAAATAAATAGGCATAGTATTGTATTGGCTGAGTTTTTTTCCCTTAAATGCTTGGTGACCATGCTGTATATTTCATGTTTTAAACTTTACCAATAGTGGTGTGTTTGTTTTTGATAGATGCACATTCAAACATTGAGAGGTCGTATTCTGGAGACAATTCTGAGCTTGAGGTTTCTCATATTCCAATTTGGAGTTGTTTACAAGCTCAACATCACTGGAAAGAGTACTTCTCTTGTGGTATGCTTCTTGGCCACCTGTCGTCTTGTATCCTCATAAACACGGATGTTCTTTTATTTTCCATTTGAGCCATGTTGTGTAGAAGTATTGCCGTGCTTTATATAAATTGGGTGCCATGCTTTATATAAATTGGGTTAATATTACATTTTTCTAGGTAATTCTATCTTGGATACATTGTGATAATGCATAATGTCCAAATAATTTAAATTCCTTTGTTGTCAAGTTATGACTTGTGCCACCGGCCATTATGCTTTGTGATGCTTTCACCCCTGGCTTCCTCGCATTGACAGAGTACAGAGTGAGAGAGTGCTGATCGTGTCTGAGCTTTTGTGGGAGTGAGAGAGAGAGAGATCTTGTAGGGATTCAGATCTTTGAGTGTCATTGTCTACTTTCTACCACCTCTATAAATGGAGACTTGTGCAAGGTTCAAATGGACTCGTGCTGAAATTTCCTTTTTTGGATGGAATTAATTCTCATAAGAAAAGTAGCTTCTTCCACTGCAAAAAAACGAGTCATCTTTCGGCACTTTCTTATTTTCTTTTGCTTTTCCTTTCCGTGATTAGTGTTGAGTATAATAGCCATAACTGACTCAGTACTTGTCATCTCCAGGTTTATGGAATTTCATGGGCTGTATTATTTTTAGTCGTTTTAATATTCAAGGTTTGTGCTTGTTATTTTAATTTTACTTATTAATGTTATCATCTGAATTTGTATATATTTGTTCTCAATTGTTTTGCTGAAACATCATGCTTACAAGTGAAACTTTTTGGATTATAATTCCGGTTTTTGACTAAACAGGGTCTGACCTGTAGCCCAAAAAAGTCAACTGGTTTCCAGTTAGGGATCCGGTTCATGCAAGGAACTTTGTTCCTTGGAGTGATAGCTGGTGTTGCGATTGCTGTGGCTGTCTCACCACTTTCATTTACGGATCTGTTTGCCTGCATTCTAGCATTTGTGCCAACCGGTTGGGCCATTTTATGTGTAAGTTGAAGTGACCACATAAATTATTGTTTGCATGAGCATCACACTGTCAAGGCATGCTATAGAGGCCCGCATGGTACTTGTATTGAGAGAGAGAGAGGGGGGAAAGTGTGTGTGTGTGTGTGTGAGAGAGAGAGAGAGAGAGAGAGAGAGAGAGAGAGAGAGTGAGTGTAGTTAGGAAGGTATACGAGTACGTACTACGTGTCGTGGTGTCGCTAGTTGTTACGTTTACTTAACTTAGTTTAGTTAGGTTGGTCGTAGTAAGTTGGTAGTGGT